GTTTTCTTGTTTGAAGCGGTCCTGTGGTTGTTCAGATCTTACAAACGACCAGAACCTCACATATAAACCTCACTTAAGCCACCTAGTTTCGGTTTAAGGTGTCCTCAGACACTACCATTTCACCATAGGCCAATTAACGACCGCGTTTCCATTAAGATATAATCTAACCTCATTACAATGATAGTAATATTAATATCAAAATACAGCATTAACACAAAACCTTCTGGAGTAAAAAGTTGGCTTTGTAAGACTTCAAGTCACACACCAAAAACTCTTTAGATTTATTTTACTGAGAGCAGAATGTACGCTCATCAATCTATCAATCTTAACACTTGACATAACCAAACAATATTCTTCATCCAAGTTCCATACCCTAATCCCTGCAGCTGACGAGGACAGCTGTGACCCCACATTGCACAGCGGCAAGTGAGCCCCTTTCTGGAAAACAGTCTCAAGTTTGTATTTACAACTCCACGGCCGATGGAAGTGACGTAAGGAATTATGTGCATACAATGAGGCTCCATCATCAGATTCTATATATACACCGGTTCTGCTGCTATCCAGTTAACGTGTTGATACGGAGGCTGCCAAAGAAGTCATCAGACCCTGAAATGCCTTCTCCAAAGCGTTTTTGATTTATCAAAAACACTAACTCACAACCTTCAGGGTTCAAGTGAGTTTATGACATAAAACAGATCAAAATGGGACAAGGATTGATTATCGTGAAACTATTTTAGCGTCTGTGAACCCCCACGCCCAAACCACAAGCTGAAGATTACCCCTTCTCGGCTGTCCGCGACTGATTATTCAACGTATTATCAGTTGCTTTTCACATCAAAACAATATCTCCTCAATTTATAACCCTCGGTTGAAAAATGCAGATAAACTGATTTACCAAATTTGGATAAGAAAATGTTATTTATGGTAGAAGCATAGATTGGATAAGAATTCTATATAAACAGACTATGAATCTATGGCTCTGGAATGTACTAGCCCAGGTTAATATCCAGTGTAGGGATTCTGTAAAGACGGTGATGGGATTTGATGTTTATAAAAAAAACAGAAAACTGCTCAAGGATGATTTTATATCATAGCTTAGTTTACTTACGAAATAATAGCAAAAACAGATTCAAGTCATTTCGTAAATCATCTCACGGGCCCACGTGATGTTCAAGGATTACATCGAAATACAAAAGCAATCAACTGAAGGAAGACATCAATTACAGGAGATAAAAACAAATGACATTAAACAGAGTGTAGTCTTTCTTCGATGCTGATAAACATAGGCATACATATTTATTATATAAATACGATATTATCTGTAGACGGTCAGAAAATTTTGCAGAAAATTAAAAATAAATTTGAAAGGTATATCGTCCGTTAAAATAAATAAGAAATTGACATAAAAAAAATTAAATAAAACCAAAAAAACTACGACAGTACCGAAAATACTTTGTAAGATCATAAATAAAGATTCAATTGCAATTTAATTATTTATATATATATTTTTTATATATTTTATTTTCACAGTCTATACACAAACGTTGTAATTAAATGATGTTGTTAAAATTATATAATATTAAAACATTATGTAGTATAAAATATTATATTTTGGCGCTTTTTATCGTAAATAAGATTTTACATTATATTATATTATATAATTTTAACAACATCATTTAATTACAACGTTTGCGTATAGACTGTGAAAATAAAATATATATTTAATCAACACAAACATGACGCATTTAAGCTACAAATTAATTAATTATATTTCATGTAACAATGATATTCAGATCTGTAAAATGTCTCTCGATTTTCGACACTTCCATAAACATTTTCTCTAGAAATTCACCCAGCAAAACACTAGAAACATTTCTTCTGCGCGTTGTTACCTCGCATCAGTAATGAATCTCACTGCAGTAGAATTACGTAACACAAGTACGACCGATAGCAATCAAACTGAGCGTGGGCTAGTCAGTTTCATGACAGATGCGCATGTCTGGAAGTTACAACTGACAACCAGATTAAACATGAATGGTAGTATTACAAACGAAGTCCAATACCTTTCCCAAGAATGGAAAGCATGCCTCACCTTCCAGCTCACACAGATTCCAAATCAGATTCAACGGTGATATGCTACAGGGTGATGCTAAATCAGAGAACGATTATACGTTCTTCTACGGATATGGGAATTATAATGCGAGATTTCAGGTTCTCACGGCCGTCTTCTGGGATGTTGCGCCGGGTAGCCTGGTAGAAATTTTCCGACGTTTCAGAGGTACTCCATCATCCCAGAAGACATTAGACGGGGGTGATAATCGCCAAGGAATATCATCATCTATTAAGAGGGCGTAGTTTGTTAGTCATGGAACTTTATTATTATTATTATTTATTATTTAGTGTTCTGTCTGACGACAGGTCCATATGAACAGGATCCTTCAATCCTTTTCTCGGACTGGGACCTGTTCATATACGTTCTTGGCAGATGATCCAGAAGTGGTTTGCCATTGCCTTCTTCTGTGTGTGAATGGAGTAATTGTTGGGATGCCACGGAGGAAAACTCCGTGTTGCCTAGACCACGGCCTTGCCCAACACAAGTTATAAATCGAACCCGAGACCCCAGGATTACAAGGTCAGCGTTCTAACCGCTAGACCACCGTGGCGTTAGTCATGGAACATCGTACGTAAAGATTGTCAAAAAACGTCCTGAATCATCACCCATCCACCCACATCTATGCATCATCACACCACATATCATTCGATGATACATAACTTGAACAGCTGATGTAGAATAATAAAATAAGGGAAGAGTTAACCAGTGCTAAGATTTAATCTTTAAATTTTCTAACACGATCAACAGAATTTAAATCATGGAAAATTTCTTGGCTGATAAGTAAGCCATCCGCTTACTCTCTTGAAAAAAAGATTTCTAGATATTTATAGCGTAATTAACTAAGGAGTGGGAATGTTTGTTGTTAAGCTGTCTGTGACTACTGGCATATTTTAACCAGTAGCCTTCTTGAGTAACGACAAGCAAGGGAAACAAAGTTATTTTTGAAGCGTTATTGTATTTTATCAGCTCACAGCCGTTAAATCTGCAGCTTAAGGCTTGTCGAATTCTACAGCACTCGAGGTTTAGAATATAAAAATGTAAATAAATCTATCAGAGACATATACAATTGATGGACACTGAATTCGAGAGTGAATGTTGACTGTAAGGGTAAATATCAGGAAGGAGATGAAGGGACGACGGTTTATCAACTGTAGGTGTTATCCAGCGCCTGATATCTGAGGGTGAGATGTTTTTTTTTTTGGAATAAATCAATCCAATCAGCATTGTGGCAACGAATAAAACGCCTACGTTAGAAAAATAAATTTCCAGCCTGTATCAAATTCGATCGTAAGATTTTCTGATGATAGGCTTACGTATTTTTAAAAACCATACAAGAAGATACAACTTAAGAATAACATCTTACACAGCCTTTCAGTTGCGAAGATAATCTTGTTGTAATCTGCATTTACCTGGACAGACTGAGTAAAACCACTCACCAGTCAGGCCTCCCGAATATGAAGCCCGAACAAGACTTTCTATGCTGCGATTTTAAAAATTAGGTAACAAGCCGCGGGGTTTTTTTTTTCCGGAAAGGATATTTTATAAAACACTCCCCCCCCCCTCTCCAGCACCCCAACTTCCTGGGAGTAAAATAACAGACGCACTCAGTCATTAATTTGCACGCTGGATTCAAAGTGAAAGACTCAGAAGGTAAAGTTACAGGACGTGTCACTCTGTACGCTCCGCACAAAATGCAAAGGTGTCACTTATCCGGGTTCCGAAAGGACCCTGTTAAGGCCCCCACCGAGACTGTGCAGTTTAGTTCAATGACAAAGCTCTGCGCATGTGCCGTAGATCAGTGGTATTCGACCTTTTTTGTTCGCGTACCCCCAGATATAATTTCTCTTCAACTTTGTACCCCCCAAAGTTGTTGGTGTATAATTCAAGTTATACATAGTATATAATCTACATCTAAAATAAATTAAATAAATTACATTACTAATTATTCAGTGTTTATCATAAAATAATATATTTTTTTAAAAAAACATTCACGTACCCCCTTAGATGTCTTCGCGTACCCTCGGGGGTACGCGTACCCCAGGTTGAATACCACTGCTCTAGACTACAAAGTTCAAATTTCGTCTTTTCCTCAGTCTCTCGGGGCAAATAAACAGATTATATTTTTATATATCACGACTATCTCCTTCCATATCCTCACCTATTAGGACTCATTGTCAATTTACCTTCTCATTCGACAATAACACACACTGTTAAGCCATAGCTGGGTCTTGCATTGTAACAGAGCACTTCGACAGAAATTGTAAATACTAAACTGGTCTAAATACAATTGTAAACAAACTAAATATATTAGAAGCGTCTCAAATAGTATAAATTCAAAGGATTGAGATCTGGCGAGTGGGGTGGTCACTGTATATAATCATTACGATCTACTAACTACGATATTGTAAGATGTTTCCTACAGCACTAGCTAAAATGTATTAATCACGTCATAAGTGGCCTAGTACAGACGGTCATGGTTATACCACGCTCAAGCTGGCGTTGAAAGCCAACAGTAACCACTTTCAGCTATTAATATGGTTCTTTGTGACTAATTTACATTCAGTAATAAAGTATTTGTAACAATTATATGTACGCTTGATTTTTGTTTATGATCAACAGCGAGCTATAAAAAATATCTCACGTCTCGGTAACAAAAACTTTGGGCTTCGAACGACAATGGTATCCGCGTTGTTTACAGCACAGAATACACGATATGTAATTACGAAACACCTGTACAACAAAAGTGGTATAAAGATGGATCCAAAATACTCGGAAATGATGGTATAATATGTCTACTATGGAAATAACAGTGAAGTATCGGTTGTATAGGATTCTGGCGAGTGAGAAAACTAATACATAACCAAACAAAACTGAAAATGCTACTTACAATTTTGTGGTTGAGGTGTGCCAGTTCCCGCTCAGTGACTTTACGTCGATTCTGTTCCTCTTGTTGACGACGATATTGGTTGTACTTGTAGAAAAGATACATGCCAGGCAATGCCAACACCACAAATGGCTTCATGAACGGCGAAGAGGACAGCCCCCGAGGCATTGTTGATAACGGCGATGTTATCTGTACACACTGAATAGTCCAGCGCCTTCACTCACAACACAAGAAACCAGCCAAAATATCAAGGTTAGTTATTGTTTGACCCGGTCGGTGTGACCTTTTCCCCCCCTACGCACGCCCACCTCCATCCCAAAATTCGACATTCAAGTCATGTAAGTGATGAATGTCTTTTTTAACCTAAAAAAAACAACCCTTATCAGCCACAACGCACGTCCCTTGCCAACTGTCGCTGGTGAGTAGCGAGCGAGCGAGCGAGCTGCTGCAAGATGCTAGCAGTGATCGCGCGCGCAGTGAACAGCAGCGCCATTCCGGTCGATAGTGGCCACCTAAACAGACTGACCTTCCAATAGCCCCCTTAATCTTTGACTTTTATAATGGTAGGTATGAACAGCAAAATTTATGTCTTCGGATTATTACTCAATATAACAGAGTAGATTATGTCGGAATAAATTCATCTGACGTTATCTTCTTTTTTAGTTCAGTAATCGAAACAAACGAAAGACGAATAATTGCAATTTGGTGAGAGAGAGAGAGAGAGAGAGAGAGAGAGAAATATTTTTTTTAACTCACTTCTAACTGAAAAGTGTTTTCAAGGTGTAAAATTAATATTAACTTTCTGTAGGAATTAATAACTTTTTTCCCATGAGGTTTCCCCACCAAAATTGTGTACGTATTCCTTGTCTCCCTCATCCGAACTACTGCGCATGCCCAGTATCCTCCTAAATGTTAACAATCCCAACAAAATTAAGATATTGGGATATTGTACCACGTAGTCTCGTAGACATATACAGACATTTTTCAAAGGTATTTGCTGCCTTCATCATCAGGGTGATAAGTGAGCAACTCTTTATGAAACCTAAAACCTCAGCTACCAAAACTAGTTTTCTTGTAAAAACGAAGTTCTCGCCATAAAACTATCGCCCTAATATCTTAAATATGTATAATTAGTATTAATATATCACGGCCAACACTGTCATTATTATTATTATTATTTATTTATTTGGAGAAAATTTATCTGGTGTTATTGTAAATTTCACAGATGGGGAAAATATTTAATCATTCTGACTGATGCTTTTCTCAGCCACTTAAGACAAATTTTTGGGCTAGTAGACCTGTATTAAAATAGGTTCCAACCGCCTCCTTTCACGTCCATTCTAATCATTTACGCAGTCATCAAAAACTTTACATAACCAGCGAAATCGAAGAAAACGTCGTTAAATATCACAAGAATCAATCAATAAATCAACCATGGCTTACAGGAGATGCTGAGATGTTTTTGTGTCCTGGGTATTTCTGGGGTAAAGATCTTTTGGTGCCGGATGGAACCCAGAGAGAGGAAGATCAGCGAACACATTCCTAACGGGATTTGAGCTATTCACAATACCGACTCAAAACATCCGCGTTCATGTCACTAGGAGAACAAAAGAGACTTGAAAGTCTACGGGTGCCGGACAGCACAACCAAATGAAGTCCTATTATCGTGTTATCGTTTATAAATAGCTAGGGAACTTTCTTGTAAAACAGAATGCAGTTTATTCTTAGTTCGTCCAAGCAAGTGAACCGTGAAGACCAACATGACAGCAGTGTCTTCTTGGTAAACTCACAAAGAAACTCAAATTTAGAAAGCCTTTGATCACGTATGAGAACGTTTTATAAGTTCGTGAGATAATGAACGGAAAGTAAAGGATTTCGCTAAGAGAGTGGTTTCTGTTCACTACTCTTATGTTAGTAAACACATTTTCCACAAGACTGGACATATTATAAAAGAGAATCAATCCATAGAGCTATCGAAAAGTTTTTAACAAGAACAAGTGATATGTAGGTGAAACTTTTATAAAATGTATCCGAATTTATGACTTGTGTTGGGCAAGGCCGTGGTCTAGGCAACACGGAGTTTTCCTCCGTGGCATCCCAACAATTACTCCATTCACACACAGAAGAAGGCAATGGCAAACCACTTCGGGATCATCTGCCAAGAACGTATATGAACAGGGCCCAGTCCGAGAAAAGGATGGAAGGAGCCTGTTCATATGGACCTGTCGTCAGACAGAACACTAAAAAAACCCTACGACAGGACGGCTCAAGAGAACGAAAAGCCTGAAGAGGAAATGGCCATGAACAAAAGAATCTCGTATGACAACGCCCAAAACTGCCGAGCCTTAACCCACGCCTTGGAAACCGAAGACAAGCCGCTCACCTGAACCTGGGACGGAAGTGGTGTTGGTCTGTTCAGCGTCCTCTCGATCATCCACGACGACATACAACCTCGGGTTGCGGTTCACAGTGTCCAAATGGGCTGGAACCTCGTTTTCCACAATATGAGGATTCCAGCCCTTGTGTGTGAATGCGTAGATACTCCCTAGATCAGCCCTCAGTAAACTGTCCTCCCTGCCCACTGAAACAGCAAACGATGGTGTGTGAGTTCGACTGGCGTAATTGAGGGGACACTTTTAAGGATACTTAAGATTTCGAAAGATTTCCTCACTAAAATTCTGTACACAATTCTTGCTTCCTAAATCCACGCTGCATCTGATACCTGTGGTAGCCTACTAGATTTTACTACCCTGAACATTATAGGTGAGGTTCTTCGTTATAAACCTTTCTAAACGTAGGTAATATTATTTTCCAGTGAAATTTTTCTTTGAAACCGCCTGTAATTCATGTTCACCTCTCAAAATAAGAGACCGAATTTCAGAAACAAACAATAAGATTTGTTATAATTTTATTGTAAGGACAGAGTTCAATCCCAGCAGGAGTTCTGCAATATCTTACCATCATATTATGAACGAATGGGTTTCACTGAACATTTTATCCTGTAGGAAAAGAGGTGTTCTATCCCTGATAATAATCGTATCTGATCTGTGAAGCTAACCATTCACTCCCGTCGTGTGGAATGATTAAAAACAGAATTAAGGTTCATTTCCACAAATTGAATTCCAGTAGCCAAAGCGTAGGAAACATCTTCACTTTTCGGATGAGCTGGTTAGCTGTTTAATAACGGTCAATGAACCGGGTATCAAGGCTGAGGTAGACGATTTGACCTTTCCATGACGCTCATTGCAAGAGGAAATAAGTCTGACACGTGTCACTTCCACTGGATTCGATGTCACACTGACTATCACATCACGATATAAAATAAGTCACATATAAAATCTCTACCTGTGATTTTTTTTTTTCGTAAAATGTCAGTAAACAAATTTCACGAATCAGAAGTTACCGGCACGAAATCATAATATTCCGTGCAAACGTCAGATTTTCACTAAAAAGTTTCCCAAATAAAATTTACACATTTTTCACTTATCCATAACATCTGTCAGCGAAGTGACGAGTCTCACTTAAGAGAACTGGTGTTCGATTCCGTACAGGTGAAGAGATTTCCCTCAACACCCACTACGAAAACCTCAGTCAGGACAACTCAAAGATATCACCACATATCTCCAACTACTTCCGAGGTGCAGAAAGTAATCTCCACGCCCCCTATACACCTTCATGGAGTGGAGCTTACACAAAGAAAAACACGTGTTCTTGCGTTATCAGCCACGCTCACGCACGACCAGACACTGGATGGCGTCTGACGTGTTCTGACATCACATCACAATCCTGGTACGAACCAGAAAAGCATGAAGATTACATGTTCTTCGTACTAACATTCACCATAAAACAATGGCTCTAAATCAGTGGTATTCAACTTTTTTGTTCTCGTACCCCCAGATATAATTTCTCTTCAACTTTGTACCCCCAAAGTTGTTGGTGTATAATTTAAGTTATACATAGTATATAATCTACATCTAAAATAAATTAAATAAATTACATTACTGATTATTCAGTGTTTATCATAAAATAATTTTTTTTTTAAATTTCACGTACCCCCTAAGATATCTTCGCGTACCCCCGGGGGTACACGTACCCCAGGTTGAATCCCACTGCTCTAGAGTACCGAAAAGCATTTTGAATCTAATATTCACTCCGTACACGTATTTTTAAATGCTTCCGTGTGTTTTTGAATATTTATCTTAACGTCTATTACATAAACATATCGAACACTGTGCAGTCAAAAATAATTTATCTTGCACGGTATTAATAGAAGTATACCGGAAAACATTCCATGTAAAAGTTATTGTTATGGGTAAATGTATGCTTTATGTTCAACACCTGTTTTTAACGAGCCATTTATATGTAAAAAAAAGAGCATAAACTTCATTTATAATCTTTAATTAGTGCTTCTTATAAATAGAGGTTATAGTGAACTGAAGCGAACTGATTTAATAGGCTATTAACTTTCATAAAAATCCGTTGAATAGTACAAGACAGGAAACGATATGACACAGTCAACTTTTTATGAGTTCGTTTTATGAATTTTTGTGTAAATAAAACTCCCATAGGTAGAGTACTTCCCTTTAAAAGTTTCGTTAAAATGTCCCGGCATCAGAAATGCGTTCCAATTAGACTTTATTTCAAATGCGATTTTACATTCTTACGTCATAATAACTTGTAACTATTACATTAACGTTTATCATGTGCTGATTCTATTTGTGAAACACAAGAACACGTTTTTATATTGAAAATATATTAGTTGTAATTATTTTACTTACATCTTAGTACCTTCTTCAGGGACTTTTGTGTTCTTATAGGAATAATATTATGTTGCTATTTTCATGGCCCTCATTAATAATTGGTTTCGTACGAAATATTCAGACACACTGAATACAGATTCTCCCCCAAACTTACTTCTCCAAAAGTAAGCCTCGATCGACGAGTAAAAATATTACTGAGAAGCCAAGCGAACAACCGGAAGTCCAATTTCAAACGTAAAATGTCACGTGGTACCAACAGAGCGATATTACATTTGCTCAATAATGGGATTATAATTTTTACAGACCAACAAAAACCACAATTTCTTTGTTTCATTAAAACATTTTCTTACACGACTGTTTGGCTAAGTGCTTTTGAATATGCGAGTTAGGAACTCGGAAGCCATTTACCTGTGAGGACTGAAAAAAACCATGAAACATTTGAGACAAGATAGCCAGTCCCCAGGCCGAGTCTTGAACCTCGGACCTCAAGAACATGAAGCAGACAGCAAGGTTAGTTCAGATCCCTGTTCTGAACACACGTCATCTTCGTCTCTCTCTCTCTCTTTTCCAGTGGTTCTTATTATTAAGGTTGGTCTGAACTCATTTATCATTTTCTCCATTCTTATACAAAATCACGCCAGTAATGAAAATTTAATACCAGTCGAATGTATTTCGCCTTTGTTCTTTCGTGTCGAAATCTCGTCAATGCTGCCACAGCGTTCGTTTTAAAAAATTATAGTTTCGATCTTTTTGTTATCTGAAACATAACCTCACATTATAAAGACGTGAATCACTAGTCCTTTTAATAACATCATCTATTAATAAGTCAGCCACGAGGCAAAAAAAAATTAAGAACGTAAATATATACACGCACTAAAAGTATTATCCAAACGACTTAGTATGGTTCTGCACAAAATACAAGCTCTACTATTTTTATTATATTACGATGCTGTTATCACGTTTTTTTTCAGATAACGTACTGTTAACCTTTGATAAATGACGTGCCTTTTCAATTTAAAAAGTTTTAAAACAACACTAATTAAGTTTCCGAAGAGATAACATGATAAAACTGCAAACATATCAGTTTCCGATAAGAGAAAAACTTTGTAACAACGTAATATATAACAAACCTTTTCATGACTTCTCACGGCATTGTACATCACAGTTTCACACCTCGTAAGTAAAAAAAAGTGCTACAAGATGGCTGTCTTCTGGGTTGTAGCGCCATGTAGTACGCTACTACCAGACTACATGGCGTTACAACCCCGAAGACAGCCATGTTCGTATTCGCCGAAGGGGGGGGGAACCTAAAGTCCTACTAAATGCTACGAGTCTAACGAGGGTCAGATACACAAAAATGATTTCCATGTTCTTGAAAAATTCAAATACACAAAAATAAGGCAGCGATTCAAATAAAACCAGTGCCCGAATGGCTACGGACTACTTACCTGACTACTGTCGCCACTAGCCAATGAAATTTAAACAGGCGTTGGTTCGAGTCTCGGGGAAAGAAATTTCTCATGAGCTTTCGACCAGTGTATGAGACCGGTGCCACATCGTGAGGAAATTGGGGAGCTACAATAAGTAGCATAATCCGGTCATGAAAGCTAGCAATGGCTGGGGGTTCGACGTGCTGACCACACGTCACCCTGTGTCTGGTTCGATGATCGTTCACCTCTTCTTAGGCATGTGAACGTGAGGCCAGCTAGTCAGCTTTGGCTCTCAGAGGGCTGTTACGCCACGGATTATTACACCAATGTTCATGAGGCATAATCCTGGTAACAGTGCTGACAGTCGCTGTGGACTTTATCCATCATCCTATACAGGCACACCTCGTTTTAATGCGCTTTGCAGATATTGCGTTTTTTATACAAATTGAAGGTTTGTGGTAACCCTGCGTCGAGCAAGTCTATTGGCGCCATTTTTCCAACAGCACATGCTCACGTCGTGTCTCTGTGTCACATTTTGGCAATTCTCGCAATATTTCTTAAACATAACTTTTATGTGCACTGGGAAACCAAAAAATTCGTGTGACTCGCTTTATTGCGGTGGTCTGGGACCGGACCCGCAATGTCTCTGAGGTATTCCTGTACTCTACGGTGGATTATCGATAAAGTCCGCAAAAAATATCAATACTAACTGTAATATACTATCCTCGATACATTTTTGGACACAATCCTCGTCTTCAAGGGCAGAATCTCTCGGATTTAAAAAATTATCAGAATTTTTCTTCGTAATGAACTGACAATTAAGAAATTCGTCCATAAGATCTTGGGCCTCGACAGACGGTCTGGGAATCGCAGTTTCACAACACATGACACAGGGATGATTTTTTTTAATAAGTTAAAATAAAAGTTATGTACAAAGCATAAACAAACAGCATGAAAAGCGAAGCATAAATTTGCTGAATACGGACAATTTAACTAAATATATGACCACTGGGTGAGAAATCAGAGAACAGAGGTAGGACGCGCACATTTAAAAAAAAAGAGGACAAAGTAATCTGTTCGGCAATTTACACCGCACGCTCGAAACGCCCTGCACGATATACACCAGCTGCGTTAATACTGGATTCAACGCGGTACGCCATCTCTGCGCCAGTCCCTCGGAAGCTTTTGCGATCTGAATATTACGCTACACTCGATGCTTATTCTATAACTTTTATCACCTTTAAGTACAAGTACTAAGTTCTTTTTAAACGTAACATCCATTGGCAAAATAATCCACAAAATATATTTTTGACACTTCGTTCACGGAAAGAAAGTTAAATAATGAAATTTAAGTTAACTAATATCAGAAATGTAAATCATTCCTCATCCAGTAACTAAATAATTAAACGAAATACAAAATTATAATTTTGTTCGTCTCGTTTACGTGGGCGTAAAACTTTGGTCTCTCACCCTGAAAGACAGACTAAGGATGCATTTGGACGTAAACGAGAGGATGTGACAGGAAAATGGAGAAAAATTTATAACGAGGAGCTTCATAACTTGAATTCGTATACAAGGATCAAACTGAGGATGCGTAAGATGGGAAACATAAAGGTGAAGAAGTTTACTCGGAATGGAGGATATAACAGGTCTTCAGGAAACAGAACGTGATGGTGCGGACCGGATTCATCTGGCTCAGGGCAAGGTCTGCTGGCAGACTCGTCTGCGCACGTTAGCGAAACTTCAGGTTCTGTAAAACGCATTTAATTTCTCGACCAGCTATGACGACCAACTTCTCGAGAACTTTGCTCACGGACGAAGTTACTTACAGACAATTTATTACGGACTCCTTTTCTTAGAAGCGATGACGCATTCAGACCCTGCAAGTTCATCAGACCAATTATGCGGCCACACAGGAGAATTCTGCAACTACGCGTACGAAACACGTCCACAGATTGAAAGACAGAAATTTCAGTGACACTGCTCTATGTCAATACCATATTACGAGAGCTACCTACCGTCAATGACGAGAACCACTAAATCCCATGCAGCGTCATAAATTTTTGATCGCGAACATTTAAGAAAAAAAAGTTATAATGAGAGATTCTGAATGCAGATCTAAATCTTTTAAGATCTCGCTGTATCACGTTCTTTATCACGTAACTCTCGGACCTTCCTCCTCCATTTCTCACCCAAGCCAACTCAGATTATTTTACGTTATCAATTTTTTTAACACCTTGTGTAATATACCAACTTGCACATCCGCAGTTCCGTTCGTTCTGCCGCGGGGGTGAAAACATTATACCAACGTTGTACGGCGAACTCTTCCCTGATACTGCGGCACGCAGATTGCGACTGACCTCAACTGTAACGTCACACTCTGTTTCCACATGATGGCACCGGTATCTGGACGCACTAGAGTATTACGCCATTACAGCTGACAGTTTTAGTTTCACAGCCCCTCGGAAAACTGTCTCAGTCACTCGGCTCAACAGATAATTCTGAAAGAAGAAAAACTTCCTGTATTAGTGTTTGTTCTGCGGTATTATCAAAACGTACGTTCATGAAATAGAAGAAGTTTGAGATAAACGTCATGGATCTATATTTTACGTCATTCAAATTCTTGTCCGAAAAGCCAATGAATAAAATATTAAAAAAATAACAATATTTTACTAATCAGCTATATAGAAGTGTCATTAATAAACTATAAATAAATATTCGATGAAGACCGCAACCTACTTTTGAGTGTCATGTATTGTCCGGGACAAATTCCTGGATGTCTGCTCGACACATTGGGCACTCCGCCAGTTGAATCACGCACGAGGAACAGAACCCATTATGATCACATGGCAACAATCGCACAGACGCGCGCTTGTCAAAGCACAGAGTGCACGAATCCTCACGAACACTGAGCTTTCGTAACTGTTCCAGATGGATGTGTCTGTCAGAGAAAGAAATACAAATGATATGAGTTTGTATCGTACTTCGTTATAATTAAGATTTCTGGATTAAAAGTTATGAGGCAAGTGGAACTGTTTAATTTACGACGTATGTTATGTAGTGTCAAATGAGTTG